TGACTCAATTGTACTATACTGTTTCACTTTTCCGAACAGGACTCATAGAGCCAGTAATCATACGAAAAAATTGATTTCGGACACTTGCCATGGAAATGTTTCGAAAAATCGACTTTTTTCAACTTTCGACGAATAGTGCTCGGCCACCAGTCAACATTTTTACAATCTGAAAACGCCATTCGCCAGCACTATTCCAGCACTATTTTTCGACATATAATATGTGTGGAAAAAGTCAATATTTCATGGTATTTATTGATTTAACGGCGCCGTCACCAAGTTAACAAGTCCACAGCCGCTCTATTTTAGTCGATTTACGACTGCCTATTTTACTGAAAGAACCGCTACAAATGAATGGCTTGCTTGGTATTCTATTTACTTTTTGAACGTACATCTAATTTAGCCTTATTTTCTGTACGACAAAGTCACGCAATGGTAATCAACAGTTTTTGTAATTATGCGTTACAAACTGAAAACAAGCTTGCTAATGTAAGGAGGCAAAAGTAATTTATTTTTTTGTTCATTCATTTCAAATTGAGATAGGCTTAGCTGGGATAAATCACGATGAATAAAATTATGAGAAGAAAGTGATTGTGACACGCGCATTTTGCGATTATGTTTCCTTTATCAATTATCGACATTCGATACGTTGGAATTGGTGTCAGTCGAAAAGTGAGCAAAACGTGGTGTGACTCGACGTGAATATTTGATACACATTTGACGATCTACATTCTTCTACTATGTATATGGCATCAAATTTATGCACTCAAATAGTGAGAACATTGAATTTGTGATTAACCCTCTACTGCGCCATTTTTTTACAGAGCTGGGAATTTTATTCTAGGCTAATTTTGAGCCAAAAATGACAAAAAAAATAATGAAAAGCTCGATACAGTTTTCCTTTAGCCGGAAAACTCGGAAAATTACACCCCGCCAAAAGGCGGTCTTGCGTGTATTTACGCCTTCCTTCATCCCGCCAAAAGGCGGCCTTGCGCGCTAACTACAGTTCTCACTAAAGGGGATATTTTTGTATTTTTCCTGTTTTCAATGTAATTACAACTTCTAGACAACATAACAATAAAACTTCACGTTGAAATACAATAAAACTTTGCCAGATCATAGCTCTGAGTATCCTATCTCTGCTGGTATATAACATATAGGCCAACATTTCTTGTGAGGGGTAATTCTAGTGCATATATTTGAATTAAGAATGAAAAGAAATGCGAAGAATTCACAGTTCAGAACCTATTCTCTAACAACCCTATGCTTAATTGTATTGAAAATCTCCCTGATTATAGTCCTAGTTATCCTTCTTTCAGAGGCAATACAGCATGTGGGACAATTTTTCTTGTGAAAGGTACCTCTAGTGTACCTATTTGAAGTCAGAATGAGGAAAACTGAGAAAGATTCAATTTTCTAGACCTATTTCTGGGCAACCCTACACTGGAATTTAATGAAAATTTCCCAGACTATAGTCTCGGATGTACCCTTTCCAACGGTATGTTAGAAGTGGTACTTTTGATCTACATATTTCAATTCGGAATGAAGAAATATTATGAAAACCGCCAAAAGGCGGTCTTGCGAAGTGTGAATTTTTCTTTCCTGTACTCGCAAGACCGCCTTTTGGCGGGCCCGCTATATTGAGGCCCAAATTGTGACCAAATATAAAAATGATCCAATAATGATCAAAATCAAATGAATACCTCCTAATTTACCTGCAAAAAAATCAACGACCACTGAAAATAGTTTTTAAAGTATTTAGAGCTTACCCGAAAAAAATGTGAATTCAGAAAATGATTTTTTCTCAAAATTGCACAAAATTTCACTTTTGAGGGCCCATAACTCGGCCCCGGCTTGACATATATCATAAAATTTATATATCAATTTGAACCTAAAGGCCTATCCAATGCAACGCTACCATATTTTCGACCATCTATAACATGGTACGCAATTTATGGGCCATTTAGTGCACCCCGCCTTTTGGCGGTCTTACGAACTAGAGGGTTAATCAACGTTACACGATTCTCTTAGCGGCCAGACTCAACATTGTTTTCTAATCTCAGTCAAATTGGTGTATAATTTTGTCAAACCGATTTTCTTTCGTTATTTTTACTCTGTCGGAAGATAATGCGTGACCGATATTTTGACCATATGTGAAAATAATTCATTAATGAAAACCATGAAAACCGAAGCAAATCGGTTTGACTGATGGAGTTGAGACTTTTTGGAAAAATTTCAACAGGGGCTTCAACTCATAAGACTGAAGTGTTCGGTAAAAAATTTCTACTAAAAATGTTTGATTTACATGCAAGACAAAGCAAGAAGCCGATTATTCCAGACGTGGCTATTCGATCAATCCATTAGACTCATATATCAAATTATTGCTGTCTCAATTTAAAATTATCATGAGTATGAAGCAGAAATTTACCGATTCCAAGCAAAAAAAAAATTGTTTGCACAACAAAATTGACGAGCAATTTGTTCAAACTTTCCCTTTTCTCCGGCAAATTTTTTTTCGCTTAAAATATGATTTAAAATGAAAAACGAATTTTTTTCTTAATATTCAATAGATTTATTTTCTCTGATATTATAAGATCGATAAATATGATGTTATCTTGAACGAAAAGAAAAACAATCGATAAAATTGAATAAAACCATTTATTGGTGTTTTTTTTTCTTTCTCCTAATTTAAAACAATTAGTTAGACGGATCACATTTATCGCTAGCAATATCGATAGATTTTAGTAACAAATAAATCATGTAAAATGAAATGTGGAATATATTTATTAGATCGATTTGAAACTAATCTACTTTATTCGCTTTGGCTTTTGAATAAATATATTGCCAGAGTTATACATCTCGGCTAGTAGAGCTACATCCTTCGATTTCAAATAAAAATTCTACGCAACGTATATGATTTCAACTAAAATATGCATTCTAAAGCACAGGCACAATGGTTTCTACTTATTGGATGATTTGATGTTCGAATTTTGATTTGGCGAAACTGAAATCGTCACATCTCACTCTCAGAATATTTGATTGCTCAATTTATTTGCAAACACATTTCCTTCGATTTAGCTAAATTATCAAAAAATATACTTTATTCCGTTGGGCATTCAATGACAGTAGTATAGAAATGCCGGTTATTGCAAAACCGGCTTTGCAATAAACGGCATTTCTACTTTTTCAATGTCAAGTGTACATGTGCGTAGAGAGGTGAGAGGTCAAAAAACGGTTTTCCACTAAAACCGGTACTAATTAATTGAATGTAATGATAAACGAAAACTGTGCGATTGTTTGAATGCGAATGAGCGAATAAATGCTTCAAAAGGCCTAGGCCTATGCGACGAATCTCTATAGATTCCCCACCCTAATCCATACAATCCAATCCAATCCAAAGCAAAGCGATCCCAGACACGCATACACGACACACTCACACACAAAATGCAAAAAAAGCAGCGTGTATGTATTTATGCATTTCCATACTTTCCCCTTTTAATGATGAATATTTTCAATTTTCTATTCAAATTTATAATTGTATAAAATAAAAACAATGGTCATGTTCAAGAATTGATTTTGATTTTATTCAGTCGTTTGCTTTCTCCAACTATATGAAATGCTAAATATGTCGTTAATTTTTTTTAATTGCCTTTATTTTTTGGTACACGGGTTGAATAAGATCCAGTAGAAACTGCGCAATATCCCTATAAAAGAATGCATAAATTATTGCTTTGTATTGACTACATCAGACTACATTGTTTTTAATTCAATTAAATTATCACAGTTTTTCTACAATAATTTACGAAATGAAAGGAAAAAAATGAGATTTGAAAAAATCGCTCAAAGATGAATGTTAATCATCAAAAAAATGATTGAAAAATATTAACCGAAAAATAAGGATGTCAAAGAGCAAACACATTGATTAATATACATTTTGTACCGATCAAAACGAGATAAAATTGTTTGTGGAGTCGCAATTCTTATGTTAGCACCGAATCGTCTTTTGAACTCGTTCAAAACAGCATCATTTCTGTAAAAAATCAATGAAATACATTAGTAAAATGAACTTAATTGTGAGAGAGAAAATTGATAATATTTCCCAAGCGTGCGAGATACGCACTTCACACGTCGCCACACTTACTCAGATGAAACAAATGTAACGATTTTTGCATTATGTTGACCGACAACACAATTTAAACGATCCACATAATTATCGCAATGTTCGACCCGTTCAAAGTTAAATATTGTTTTGACCACTTGAATGTTTTTTAGTTTGGGGGCAATAGAATCAGTTGTTATCAACACAGACTGCGAAAAAGACAAAATAATTATTCTGGAAGATTTGAAAATGAATAATCAGTGAATATTACCTTTTCATTAGGAAATTCTTTTTCATCAGCTGAAACGCCTTCAATGCCAAGAACAGATAAGTTATCTTTCAATGTGTGACCCTTTTCCATTGACTCAACGAAAATGAGTGATTTACTCATATGAAGTATATTCAAAAATTCTGTCAACGTGTTGATCTTTTGCTTCTCCAATACAACATAGTAATGCTGCAAACCATTGATATTCAGTTTTGTAGCGGCATCATCAAACACTTCAATTGGCTAATTTGTGGAAAAGAAAGTTTGTGTGAATTGAAAAAATTGGAGCCGTTCTCTTGTGAATACATTACATTTTCCACCCACTTCTCGAACCAATGACGCGCGAGTCTGCATGTTTTATTCGAAAACATCATGACTTTTTTGTTCTTCTGATTTTCCATAATGTATCTGATCGAAACCAAATGATCTGTTATAAAAAAGTCATTAATTATCATTGTTATTGTTTTGTTTATCGGTAAATTTGTCGTTTGATTTGACCAACCCAAGTCGTCAACCATAATCTCGCTGTCAAAAACAATTATGTTGATTGTATCATTCAACGTGTGTTTTTTGTTACGAACGAGTGCAGAAATACGAGCTGGGGTACCAATGATAATATGCGGTGTAGTTAGCTGAAGCATCTCTTCGTCATTTCCAATTGCCGGATTGCCGAGTAAACCGATTTGCAAGAATGCAAAGTATTGCTTGAAATATGCAAGTTCATTGTAGATCTTTTCACCCAATTCATTAGTGCAAATGACCAATATATAAGTACGACTTTGCATTTGTTGAAATTGTTGCATACTTGTTAGGATAACCATACGAGATAGGCCCAGTTCTGTAAACAATCAATAAGATAACATTTGTTGAAAGAATAAAAACAAAAATAGCTACCTATTAACAATAGCAATTCATTTTTGGCTACCATACCTGATTTGGTTTGGAATAAAATGTCATTTCCTTTGAGAAATTTACGAATGCACTTTATATCAGCTACATAGAACGAATAAATCGAATACGATGAAAATAGATTTCGGAAAAACATTCTTTCCATTTTTTTTCTTACCATTTGATGGTTTGGAATCAGAGAGAGCATTACAAATCTCTACATCAATTGGGATACCATGAAAATCAGCCATCCTTGTTGCGTGTTCTTGTCTTTCATTCACTTTTGGCCACCACAAAAGAAAAGAATGATAAATCGTTTGATATTATTGTACGTCCAATAAAATACATGCAATCAATATTTTGATCA